TATAGGGACCACCCTGTGTACCTGCATATAGAAACGGATTGTTCCGGTAAGTCAAAAGTCCCATTATAATGATTATTTAAGAAAAATTGTGTTTTTTTATATTCCTGAATTGAGTTGTGATGTCACCAGCGGATTACCCCCAATTCTTTGTGTCTTCTGTTTGCAGTGGAGTTCCTCTCCTTGCCGGATACGGTGTCCATCAAAGAAAGTTCCCCCATCGGCACCTCCGTCCATAGCTTCAGCCTTCTCAACTGTACCAACAGCAACCCCGCCGTCACCATCACCGCCGTCATCCCGCCGGCCACTTACTTCAACACCCCGACACAGACCGTCTCCGCCGGCCCCGTCTACAATCTGCAGGTGAGACCGGCGCTGTCAGGGAGCCTTTCAGCCGGAGAATTAAAGGTCTCTGTTTTATGACATATATGTACTGCTAGCGAGCCGGAGATGCAACGCCGCAGCATGACCCAGGTCTGCGCCGCTCGCTCCCGGCTGCAGATCACATCTTCCCGAACGGCCGCGCAGGAGGAAGTGTGTGCAGGCGCAATGCGCAGTCCACATCACCGGAAGGGAGACACAATACTAGTAAATGCACGCAGCCGGGAGCGTGCACGCCGGACAGACTCCGTGGGACACAGGAAGAAACAGCAGTCTGCGCTGGATCAGAGACCGGCACCAGCACTGGAGGCAGGGGCGTCCCGAGGCTGGGTGTCACCCGGTCTCTGCCGCCCGTGTGCGCGATGACTTCATCCCACACGCGATGTTTTCTTATTGACGCCTGCTGGCGGCCATCTTGGTGGTGGACGCCGGCAGAGGGAGGAGGGGATGTTCACCCGGCGGGATGAGGTATGGCGCCGGGTCCCCGCCTCTCTCCTGACACCGTCGGGCTCTCGGTCCGTGACCCAGTGCCCCACTTTTCATAGGGGGGTGACTGATAGTCATTTTGGTGTCACCTCTCCAATGGTGACACCCGGGTATATGAGAGAATACTTTATTCTCGGTTTTATCAGAACAGCCAAGACAATTATTTCTTTAACTTGAACAACATGGACGGTGTGGTTTCTGATCACTTACAATGTTTTGGAACCACCAGAGTTCCCTTCACCAGGCCGTGTGACTTTACACGATGGAGGGGCCCCTGGGGGTGCTGAAGCATCACGTTTCATGGCACGGCGCACTGACCATGACGTCCATATGATTGCAGGAGGCTGAGGTGTGTTGGCCACATATTCTTATTGACGTGCGGCTCAAACACAGGAAAGCGACGCATGAGGGTGACATAGTTACATCGTTAGTCAGGTTGAAGAAAGACACAAGTCCATGGAGTTCAACCTATTGTGATGTCACCAGGGGATTACCCCCCATTCTTTGTGTCTTCTGTTTGCAGTGGAGTTCCTCTCCTTGCCGGATACGGTGTCCATCAAAGAAAGTTCCCCCATCGGCACCTCCGTCCATAGCTTCAGCCTTCTCAACTGTACCAACAGCAACCCCGCCGTCACCCTCAGCTGCCGGGCTTCTCTCTCTCTCTTCACTGTTACCGACACAACTGTCCTCTACGGCCTGGACCTGACCAGTGGCATCTTCTCACTGCCGATCCTGAGTGCCCGTGGCCAGTTGTCCTAGGCCCAATGACGCAGGAGAACCCAAGAAATACATGGCCCCAAATAGCGTTGGGATGCGTCAGAGGCAGCTAAGACCCGACACACAGTGTCAGCCAGAAGGTCTTTGGCGTTAACCAGGGCAATGCTAGTTACCCTCCTGGCAGATACCTGGTGAACATTGGAGAAAGAACCAGAGACCATTAAACCATACACATGTAGAAAATGGCTAACCCGGGTATATTATATATCACGTTTGTCTAACAGATCCGACCTCCTGGGATATTGGCCTTCAGGGCTGCTTTTCCCACAAGGCCAACCGAGGCCGGCATTGGGGCAGCAGGGAGTAGAGGGGCAGCAGGGAGTAGAGGGGCGGCAGGGAGTAGAGGGGCGGCAGGGAGTAGAGGGGCAGCAGGGGTGTAGAATTCCTATCTCCCGATGCCTGAGACATGCAGTTCCGGCCGCCGGGCGGGTAGTTATTTTCTACATTTAGCCCGGCTTTGGGCAAGCAGAGCTAAATGTACCGCGGGGGAAGCCGCAGCTTGTTTTGTACACGTGATCCCGGCGATGTGGCTGAGATCACTTGTATGCAGCCTGCAGGTCTGCCATTCTCCATGGGGGAGGGGGGGGATGAGGTCAGCTGATTGGTGACAAAGGTCTCATCTGAAACACCAATACCCTCCATTGTTGTGCCGCGCTGGAGGTGACCTGAACTTCCTGTTCCCAATCATTGGGCTCCAATACACTCCATTTGTAATCCGTCCTCTCACTGACAAATGTTTTATTTGCATATTCATGTATTTGTCCCTCAGGCAATGGTCAACAAGAGGTTAAATATCTTTCATGCAAAACATTATAGTGGAAAAAAGTTTTCCTAATTCTGGATGGACGGGGGACGGGGTTTGGGGGTCGGAGTTGGTGTTGTTTGTGTCCCCATTTGGATGCCTTCCACTTCCTTTCTAGGTAACAATGTTGTTTCTGGAACAGGAAGTGAAATCTCCCCGATGTGGTCAAAGGCAACAAAAAGAACCTGACGGAAGCACCCCTCCCAACCCCATCCAAAACTAGGGGAAGGATTATGTATGTTATAAACCTTATTGGCTCCCAAAGCGAGCTGGCACTTGTAGTTCTTCAGGAGCTGGAGGGGGGCAGGATATGTGTGATGATGTCACGTGTATGACCGCACTGCGATTTCTCTTTTAGATCACACTCAGCAGCACAGCGACTCTGAACGCACAAGTGGTGAATGAGTACATCCTGGAGATCACCGCCGTCTGCGGCAATGACACCGCCATCGGTAAGCTGTTCGTCAAGATCATCGACGACCTCCCGGAGCCGCAGTGCGAGCCAAAGTTCGCCAGCCAAGGTAAGAGGGGCGGTGCCCAGCGCCCTGTCCATCGTCATGTGACCACACAGCTCCAGTAACGGAGAAGACAAGGAAACCAAATCTCAGCGCTACTGAGGGTAACAGTATTCATAGGAAGAGGAGTCACACCCCAGTCAGGGCCGGATTTACTCTCTCTGCTGCCCCAACGCCAGGTTCCTCAATGCGCCCCCCCCCC